AGAGAGAGAGATAGATAGAGAGAGAGAGAGAGAGAGAGAGTTTGAATAATGTTAAATGTTGACAACTTTTTTGATCAAGTATGAAGAGCTCACACGAGACGGGCCTTTGGGACAAATGGCAGGACGCGTCGTCCAAATACGCGTACAAAGTGTATGTTAAACAGGATTATGTATTTCCCGACGACTCACCCCGTAATTACATGGATTTGGACAAGATGAAGATCGCCCTTGGTCCATTATTCATGGGCCTCATTTTGTCAATATTTGCGTTTTTATGGGAAAAATATACTTTTATTGACAAAAAATTGTTTACAAAATTTAAACGACAAAGTAGTAACAGAAGGCAGCAGAAACTTTTATTATTTAATTTGGATTTGAAAAAATAAAATTTTATTAATTTCATAAATGTATATAACATTAAATTATACATTTATTTTAATTTATAATAATTTTAATAAATGATTAGAAACTTAATTTTAATATACGCCATTTAGTTTGTATAATAAAAGGATAGCAAGGATAATTGGCATAATTCTAAATTATTTTAACTTCAGTACATGGTTATCTAAGTTTCACAAAAGGTCACTATCACATTTATTGTATAATTATTGATCTAGAAATAACTGTTGTAACAACTTATTGATTGTAAATGAAATTATATTTGTAAATTACACAATGATACTTAATCATTTTGATTGATTTTATTTTTTATGCATATCTAACAAATATATTATGTAAATATAATTTACAGTAAACTCTATTGTTTGAACAATATATAAACATTATATACACACGTTGTTATTAAAACAGAACTAATTAATATTAAATTAAAAATAAATCTAGTTAAATACTGTATGTTGTAATCAAATTAATAATTAGATTTACATGTATTATAACAATAGTTCAATAAATGAACATGCCATATTAAACCAAAGGTTACGCCAAATGTTCACTAAATACTCTGATGTCCTTGTATAATATTATTATATAAATTACAGTATATTCAATGAAAATGTTACAAACAATTTAAAGTGTGGTAAGATAGTATGTTATAATGATTATATTATTAGCATAAACAATTTATTTAATGATTACATGTATTGCAGACATAATCAATAAATATTCAAACTTAAATATCTATATAATTATGGTAAAATAGGTATTTGATCGCAACATACACATGGATTTTATTTATTGGATAATTGATTAAATGTTTGTTTATCACAATTTTTTATTTCCATCATCAAAACTCGGATTGCTGACTTAAACTGATTTGAATACACACAAACCATAGTACTAGTTTAATTAAAATTTTAAGTTACTAAGATTTGTAACCACGGACATACCTAGTTCAAACAATGTCGTTGATGGGGGATTTGATACCGACTACAACTAACTTTGCCTGCGATATGCAAATACAGGATCACCACAATATTGCTCATTATTTTGACTATAATTTTATACCGAGAGGCAATTTTACGTTTGTTTGGATACAGAATGTATGTTAGATGATAATTAGAAGCCATTTAACACTAATTAATTAATTGCATTTCTGAATCAATTTTTATTACAACTAGACCAAAGAGTCGGATACACAGGCCTTATGTGCAGCGCAACTGTTTATTGTTAAAGAACTGGTCAGACGTACACAATATGGGTAATTATTAAATTACAGTATACCGTATTGTTCAAAATTAATTTACCATAATTCAATTGTAATGCCCCCGCAGTGCAATACCATTGCAAATGGAAAACCGAGGTTATTTGAATATATCAGGCCATGAGATTGACTCCGAACTCACTTATCTTTATTCAAGGGTTAGTTTTGTGTAATTAATAATTATATTAAATTTTATTAAATGACCATGGGTGAAACAAACAGGAAGCCGACATATCCCTGGATGAATTTCAACTCAACTCATATATTGCATCTTTTGCTTACGCGATCACTCCATATAACAGTCCTGCCATGGTCATTTTAAGCGGCATTTACCCCAATACAGACACTAGCACGCATTTTGGCATGTTTAAAGTATTTGATATTTACGTAAGATATTCTTATTTTATGCATAATTTACATTAATTTATAACATTTTAAATATTTGTGATTTACGTCTAAAATGATTGTGATAAATTTAGTTTTGGACACTTTTAAGTATCGCTTTTTTCGTTTGTTCATTCCTGCTATGGATTGAAGCGTTGAATAATATAAACATTAAGCCATCGTTTAGTGAAATGTAAACATATTTATATTCAATAATTGACTTTCAGTTATATTTACAATTATTAATATTAATTTCAATTAATTATCAGATTTTTATTGTCTCGTGTATTGACACAAACACTTCGGGACCAAATGTGGACAGTTTTAAATGCACTACTTATGCAGAGTATGTTTAAACTTAATAAAAGTTTATTATCCATTACATTATAAATTAATACATAAAGCATTGCCTTTTCAGTAATTCACGTTAAATGCTCGACAACGAGATACCGATTGATAATAGCGGTGCTATTAATTGCAAAATTTGTTATATTAACGTATTTTAATCAATTAATTTTGTCGATAAATATTCAAAACCCACACAAACTAATTGACAATTTTAAGCACTTGGAAGATAGACCCCGATTACAGCCCAAACTTTATATGTCTAAATATAAGCTTAATACAATACAGGTGCGAATCACAGCTAATCAACTACTTTTAACTAATTTATGATTCATTGTAATTCTTTATTAATTAATATCTATACAAATTATTAAATTATTAAGAGAAAGGCTACAGCTATTGAGACCAGAATCATAAACAAAGCTCTGGCTAAATATGACAGTAATTACATCGACTCTACGATCACAAACTTTTTGTCCGAATTTGATGTAGTGATGGCTGACATCCGGGACCGGAGGACACATGTGCTCATCTGCTCATCACAAGTGATGGACCTAATTATGGGACAGACGTCGACATATGGGCGCACTGTTCACGTGGCAAATGCCAAATACTTTGATCAGCCAAACGCTTATACTATACACAAGGACTCGGATCCGGTGCTAATCAAAGCATTCGTTGAAATGTAAATTAACCATGTCAATATTGATTTTAATTTATAATTACCTAGTTACTTTATTATAATTGACTAACAATTTACATAGAGTGGTAAGCTTAAGGGAATGCGGTTTATTAAACAAGTGGTTACAGGCGGCCGCCGTGTTTGCCTACGATGCCTATGTGGACAAAACAAAAGTAATTGAACCTGATCAACCCGAAGATCGTATGGGCATTGGTGATGTTAAGATTGCATCAGGGCCATTTTATATGGGCATCAGTTTGGCTATTTTGGTTTTATGTGTGGAAATGTATATGAAAAAATACCATGATCATGCAACCCATTATCATTTACCCGATATTAGCACCGATAGAGTAAACCAATTAAACTATTCGTATGCATATAATACTAATAGGCGTAAAACTGAAAGACATTTTTTATTTGTAACAAAATTGCAAAATAGATTGTAATCATGATGTTATAAAATGTAAACTAAATAACAATTATAAATAAAATATTTTCTAAAGAACATTGACATAATTGACTTGTTTTTAAAACTAAACTTTATTAAATTAAAATGATATCAACATAACAGGAATTAACTCTTATCATTTAAATCATTCAAATAATCAGTAACCTAAGATTTAATGACGAGCTTTTCAGATAGATGTGAAATTTATTTATTTTACACAATCAATATTTAAAGTGACATTTTAACGTTATTTTGCTTACAATTTTGGTATTAATCTGCAAATGTATTAAATTCTATGTAACATTAATAATGTTACATTATAAAATCCATATAAGACAACCTTAACATAAATTGTAACATAAGTTGCAACAAATAGTATTATTTTAATTATTGGCTGCGGAAGACATTGATTACATATATTAATTGATCGATAAAATCATAATCTAAAATAATAAAACCATTAAATAAGATTAATTAAATTAAATAATGAATATTTTATTGTAGAATCGATCAGAAATTGTTTACAACAAAATCTAATGTCAAATGTAAATGTATATAATTTTATATCAAACATATTATCTGATATAATGTCCTAAAAACATCGAGCATAAATTTTTTGAATTTAAAACATCTAGTACCAAATGGCACTTTTGTTTGATTTAGTTCCCAAAACAGCAAATTTTGAATGCGATTCTGCAATTGGAAATAAACCTGGTGTTCCCCATTATTTTGGCAATGATTTTTTGCCCAGAGGCAATTTTACGTTTGTTTGGGCACAGAATGTATTTAATGATTATATAAATAATTATTTTTTCAAAAAATATTATTTCTAAAAACAAATTCAATTTGAATTAACAGAAAGACGACTCAGATATGAGAGTATTGTGCTCTTCGTTATTGTTTATCGTTAGACAACTCGTCAAACACACACACTATGGGTATTGTATGTTAATTTGTTATCATCATTAATTATTATCATTTTACAAATCACATTGAATTTAGTGCAATACCAAAAACATTATACAAAAACATGACTCGCTTTCTAAATGTATCGAGCAATGACACAGACAACGAGATCAATTATCTCTATTATAAGGTAGATTATCATAATTATAAACAAAATAATTAATATTTAAATTGCATGTATTAATATAGGAGGCAGATATAGCACCGGACAGATTTCAATTGACACCAGCCATACATGCATTCGCTCGCGTCATAACCGTATACAACGCGCCGGCGATTGTGGTGTTGGGCGGCCACTACCCCAACACCGACTCATCGCCACATTTGGGCATTTTTAAGCTCTTTGACGTTAATGTGAGGCACAAATGGACTTGTTTATTTTATTTAATAACTAATTTATGGGTTGTTTTAATGTAGATCTGGGCCTCAATTGTTGTCATATATTTTTTGTGTTCATTTATACTATGGATCGAAGCGTTGAATAATATTAACAAAATGTTTAATGAGTTGTAAATATAATATAAATGTAAATTAGTTTTAAAACAAAATATTCATATTTTAGGGGCCATTTGTCTCGTGTATTGATTCAAACACTTCGGGACCAAATGTGGACCGTTTTGAATGCACTACTTATGCAAAGTTTGTATTAATTTTATATTTATTTATAATTATTAATTTTACCAATTTTTTTATTAGTTATTCATTTAAGATATTTTACATCAAAATATCTACTGATAATAGCGCTGCTATTAATTGCAAAGTTTTTTATATTAACGCATTTCAATCAATTAATACTATCGATAACTATTCAAAATCAACACAAACTAATCGATGGACTCAAAGACCTGGAAGATAGACCACGAGTACAGCCAATGTTGTACTGGCCCGAGCACCAGTTGCATCAAATTCAGGTAGATCGATATTACAATAAACATAGTTATTATGGTAAAATGTTATCTATTATAATTGTTATTAATAGCAAAAAGCGACAGACATTGAGACCAGGATTATAAACAAAGGGCTGTCAAAACCTGATGACAATTACATTGATTTTTCATTTACACAAATGTTGTCTGAAATCAATGCAGTGATGGCTAAGATCCGGGACAGGAAGTCACATGTGCTGATCACCACCGATGGCAATATGCAACTCGTTATGGGACAGACGTCTACATACGGGCGCACTGTTCACGTGGCGAAAGCCAAATACTTTGATCAGTCCATCGGCTATATTGTTCATAAGGATTGCGATCCCATTATTGCTAAAGCATTTACCAAAATGTAAATAACATCAATTTATTTCACAATTAAATTACCAAATATTAACTACACGACTATTTTATATAAATGAATCTAGTGTAATATCAAACAAAGAGTGTGGACTATTGCTCAAGTGGGTGGAAGCGGCGGCAATATTTGCCTACAATGCATATGTGGACAAATCGCAAGTGATTGAGCCTGATCAACCCGAAGATTGTATGGATATTGATGATGTGAAGATTGCATCAGGGCCGCTTTACATTGGCATGAGTTTTGCTATTCTAGTTTTATGTATAGAAATAATATTGCATAAGCATTATGGTAAAAAGGTAAATAATAATAATCTAGTTGTAAATAGCAATAGATTTAATCAAATCACGTATTCATATGAGGATAACAGTAGACGTAAAAGTAAACGTCATTTAATGTTTGTAAATAATTTTAAATTAAATAATGTGCTTTAGAATTAAAATTTTAAACATATTTTATAAATAATATATTATTTAAACTTGTTCTTAATCAATTTTTTGAAAACATTTAAAACTATTTCATAGACAGACAGACATAAACAATATAATTAAGATTGAAATAATTATGATATTTTTTCTGGGGTTTTGTAAATTAATAAAATTACATAACCATTATAATACTATCAAAAAAGTAAATGGTAATTACCACAGATGAATTAACAATTGTTATGACCAAAATAAAACAATTATTAGTAATTAAAATGTTTTTTATAAATATGTTGCTGAATAGTAATTATTATAAAGATATAGATTATTTACCCCAGATATACAATAAAGCTCAAATATGCAAACATAAATAACTTTGTTACTAAGTTATTACATAAAATAATTAATTTTGTTGCATAAATAATAAAAACATGTCTATAATAATCTCCTTTTTACCTATTATATTTTAAATTTTCCAAAGAAATTGCTTTTAATTAATTAAGTAATGCATGCTTAAATTGTACTGGGTGTTACTCGTATCAAATAACTTTTTAAATAATTTTTAATACAATTGGGATAAGTACCATAATTAATTTAAATATAATGGATGGCTTTTTACCTCGATCAACAAACTTTGAATGTGATATGTCTATAGCGGGTGAATCGGGAATTGAACACTATTTCGGGTATAACTTTACATCAAAAGGCAATTTTACATTTGTTTGGGGACAGAATGTAATATATAAATATTTAAATTATAATTGATAAATTAAACTAGTTGAAATTAAAATTAAACATATTGTGTTATTACCATGTTAATTCTTTAGACCGACACAACCGAAATGAAAGTGTTGTGCTCTTATTCGCTGTTTATTATCAAAGAAATGGTCAGACGAACGCATTTTGGGTACTTTATTATTAAAATATATTGACATAGTTAAAATATTTTATTTTTAAATTATAGTGCAATACCCTTAACAATAAATGAAAACCGTTTTATAAATTTAGCAAATAATGACACTGATACAGGCATCAATTATCTTTTATATAAGGTTAATTAAAATTTTAAATATTTAATTATAAATTAAAATCTATTTAAAAAAATAACCACGCTCAACTAGGAAGCGCAACTTGCTCCAGATAGGTATCAATTGGACCCGATGATTTTATCATTTGCACACGTGTTTAACACATTTAACACACCGGCAATTGCTATATTGGGCGGCAAATACCCCAACACAGACCCCACACCTCATTGGAGTATATTTAAACTGTTTGATAGTTATGTAAGTAACCTAATATTAGTACTATTTATTAAATGTATTATGATATATTCAAATATTCAATTAGTTCTGGGTACTTTTGTTAATGGCATATTTATTGTGTTCATTCACTTTGTGGATTGAGGCGTTTAACACACATAAATTATTTCATAAAGAAATGTATGTATTCTTATTAACATGGTCGTTTGATATAATAATAGATGCAATTTATCAATTTTTTAGATTTAACTTATCACGTGTATTAATTCAAACTCTTCGCGAGGAAATGTGGATTGCTTTGAATGCCCTGATAATGCAAAGTTTGTGCTTTTACTTAATAATTATTATGGAACTTTCTATTTTATATGTTTAAAACTTTTTACAAATCATTATATTTAATATAATAGGTATTCGTGTAAAACACAAGTCGATTAAATACCTATGGATACTAACAGTGCTATTAATGGGCAAATTCATTATATTAACGCATTTTAATCAAACCATTTTGTCGATAACTATACAGAATCCGTACAAATTCATTGATAACATAAATCATCTTGATGATATGCCTGAACTCCATCCTAGCATGTACATGCCTAAATATCGTTTAAATCAGATAAAGGTTTTTTTTGTAGATCATAGTTATTGTTAATTAGTAAAATCATAATAACTCTCATAGAAAAACGCTACCGATATTGAGCTTATGATATTAAACAGAGCTTTCGCTGATGGTAAAATTGAGGATAATTTAATTGACTACAGTTGGACACAAATGTTTGAAGCGATCGGAGATTTAATTGTTAAGATCAGGGATCACAAGACACATGTGCTCATCACCAATGATATGTATATGGACTTAATAGTGGGCCAGACATCCAAATACCAGCGCACTGTTCACGTGGCAAATGCTAAATACTTTGATCTGCCAATGGGTCAAGTGATACATAGGGATAGCGGTCAACACATGATACATGCATTTTCTCAAATGTAACATAAATTATAATAAAATAAATTGATGTAATGAAATGTCTTGAATATAGGTTAATAGCCGTAAGAGAGTGCGGGCTAATGGACAGGTGGATCGTATCGGCGACAATATTTGCATACAATACTTATGCCGACCAGTCTTTAGTAGATGAACCTGATCCACCGGGTGAGATAATGGACCTTTGTGATATGAGAATAGCATGTGGGCCGCTATATATCGGCATTTGTTTTGCTATTATTATGTTATGTATTGAGAAATTGTGGCAAAGGTATACGAAAAAGCCAACAATTCGTATAAATCATAGGATTTATATAAATAACAGACAAATCAATCGATTGACACATTTTGTAATTCATAGTAAAATATCATAAACTAAATGACATTCAATATTAATGCTATTAATCTAATAAAATTATTTTATTTAATTAATACTGTAAATACTTATTCTTATGATATAATAATAATGAAATGTTAACTGTACATTTAATATTAAATTTTTAATTAAAGGCACACCTAATATTTTATTATTATCATAATATGTTTATCACATATTATGTTCTAATATTAATAATAAATTAATAGAAAATTATTTACAATATAACGTATAAATAAATAGATTTTTGTAAAATTAATTAGAAATATTCTATTTATGTTGATACTGATTGTATAATTTTAATTATTTAATGGGCGTTGACTATAATAATAAATGTTGCATACAACATAATTAAATTGCATTTACGTCAATTTGTGTTTTTGATATTGGTACTAAAACTAGTTTATGTTAACTTAATATATAAATTATTATTATGTTTTTTCTGGTATCTTGCTCACACATAATATAAGCACATTTCTATTATAATGAGATAATTATTAAATTTAATTTGAGTCCAATGGCCTTTTTATTACCAAAATCAACTAACTTTGAGTTAGATATGAAAATAGCAGATGAGCCGGGAATTGCTCATTATTTCGGGTATAACTTTACATCGAAAGGCAATTTTACATTTGTTTGGAAACAGAATGTAAATCAGATTTTTAATTAATTAACAAACGTGTCATTTATAATAACATTGTTTATGTTTAAATATAATACATGTATAGACGGACACAACTATTATGAAAGTTTTGGGCTCTTTTCCGCTATTTATAATAAAAGAAATGGTCAGACGAACACATTTTGGGTAATTATATAACAATTATTGTAATTTTACTAACAATTTATTTACATAACAATATATCCTACTTATTAATCATGTTGATCATAATTTTAGTGCTATACCGGTTCAAATGTACGCAAACCGTTTTGCCAATATATCAAGCAACGAGACCAATAACATGATCAATTATTTATTCTATAAAGTAAATAAATATATTTATTATGGATTTATGTAATACACATTAAAATAATCTAGGAAGCTGATATAGCACCAGAAAGATTAATACTGGATCCATTTATTAACTCAATCTTTCACGTGTTTAATACATTTATAACACCGGGAATTGTAATATTGGGCGGCAAATACCCCAACACAGACTCCACATCTTTTTGGGCAATTTTTACATTGTTTGACAACTATGTAAATATGAAAATTACTCTTAACATTAAACTTTAATTTACAAAATACTTGTATTTTATGTAAATATTAGTTTTGGTCGTTACTAATAATATCATATTTATCATGTTCATTTATATTGCCCATCGAAGTAATGAATACTACAAAATATTGGGCTCAGAAAATGTAACATTATAATTATATATAAATTCTCATCTAAATCAGCGTAATGTTATCAAATAATTTATGCTAGGTCACATTTTATACTAACTATTGTCCCAACATTTCTTGATGAAATGTGGATTGTTTTAAATGCGCTAATTATGCAAAGTTTGTACATTGCATTAATGTCAATTTGCTTATTTGTAATAATTAACTTTTAATTTTTATTCAATATAATAGGTATTTGTATAAAACACCGTACAATTAAATACCTATTGATAATAGCAGTGCTATTAATGGGCAAATTCATTATATTAACGCATTTTAATCAAACAATTTTGTCGCTAATTATACAAAATCCTTACAAATATATCAACGAACTAAACCACCTTGAGCAAAGATATGAATTACAACCTATAATATTTATGTATGGACATCGCCTAAATCAGATTCAGGTATTTAAAAGTAATAAATATAAATATTTATTTTATTAATTATATATTTATTATCATTATAGTTTTTTAAAGTTTTTTAAAAAAATTATTAAAATTTTTATATAATAATGATCACTCTTAATTAAACTAATAAATTAAATTAAATTGATA